CTTATTAAGAATTACAAAACATACCCATCAATAAGCGGATGCTTGCTTAAAATATCATTAATACGTTCCTCGACATTTGTTGAATCATTGTTTTTCTTCTTAGAAAGAACAACACCAAGTGTCACGCGTACCACAGTTGCAATAGTGAACGAAGACAAAATCGATATTATTATGATCTTTTTATTAGCTAATGCCATAGTTTGGTATATGGCTCTAAAATGAAACAATTTATCATATCACTTTTTCACTTGAAGTAAACGGACGTACTTTTTCTCCTCTATACAATAGTAGCTCTACGTACATATACGTATATACGTATATGTACACGTGTCTCTTTTTGTCTATTTTACCTGATGTACTTTTACTTATTCAATTATTAATACGTTAACGAAATTAAGTTTTCGATTCGAACTGATAAATGCGTTCTGAAAAAGTTAAGAAGAGTTACCAATCGATACAAGATAAGGAGGATGCTGTAAATGGTATTTATTTTCAACGTGAATTGCGGTTTCATAACCAAAATCGTCAACCTAATAACCCTTCTCAAGCATCAAATTCCTTTAAGCGACAATTGACAAATAGGAGTTTATCTGGCGATAATTTAGGAAATAGGCTATCGAATGATAATAAAAAATTACGAATAGATGAAACTGGGAGGGATGATTTTTTCGATGTTGATGATCGAACGGGACGGAGTCAAAGAGGTGGATATTTATTGAATTTTAATCAAAATCAATTGTAGCAAGAAAATATTCAGATCTCAAACCAGGTGCTAAAGTTCGCGATGGATAATCATTTTCCACCGACCAAAATTGTGTGTACACCAAAACTCCAAAAGGAAGATGGTGCAGGTTTCGTTAAGTCTCTGGTTAAATATATTGAAAAACATTTCAACGTGCAAAATCCGTTTTTCAAGAAACCCCTGGGTTTTGAAGCATGGTGGGTCGATATGAGTGGTGATGTATCACTACTGACAAAATGCTCAGAAATGTTTTTTTATTTATGTATACAGTCTCATTATCCAGCTCACATTAACGATGTTCAACTTGAACCACAATTGCCCAAGAAATTATCGTCTCCATTTTCTGTATTGATTAAATTTGTGAACAATGATGTCTCGATTCAAGATATTAAAAATCAAATGGATGAGAAATACGAATCGATATATTCCTGCCATGATTTAATGGGAACTAATACAAGTCGAGCTAGACATATACGGATTGACTTTACAGATAGAAATGATTATGATTCCATTCTCAACGGTGGACAAGTTTCTCTCTTCAGTCAACTCTATGATGTTAAGGAATTTCTTGAAGCACCAAAATTACTAATATGGTACTAAACAACTTATGACACTGATTGGGAAATTAACAGCAGCTTCAGTCGAGGGAATGGACTTACACTTTTGCTCAAATGAATAATGCGGCTATGATTCAGGTATTCAGATCCGTGCGTAAGGAAAGACATTATTAACAAATATGATGGCTCAGTGAGTGAAAAAAACACCCTTAGTCAGATGTGCACCGAACGGAACTCTAGAATATGCATCTCTGATCTTTGTCGATTATGGAAGAAGAAGAGACCGGATAAGGTAGCTAAAAATTTATGTTTATTAAATTTTAATATGGAAGGATTAAGTTCTCATCTAGCTGATGTGGATATTCTACTGTCAACGTATACTCCTCAAACAGCCATTCTTACTGGTGTGGGTGCCCTCTTGAGAAATCTTCCTCCTATACCAGGATATCGTTGGCTGATGTGTTGTCTGGGACGAACAGCTTTGGAGGGGTGGCTGTGCTAGTTCATTACACGCTTCAAACAAAAATTGTCAATACAGACACTAATTATATTTTATTTGAATTAGAAGTAATCCCTAAACCAGTCCTGATTGGTGCTGTATATGTACCTCCAAATACAAAAACCTCTCTTTCATCTTTTTGAATCCTATACTGACGAGGGAACCTCTCAAGGTGATTAAAAGCTTTTCGACTCAGACTATTTTCATCATGTAGGGAATAGTCAGTAGTGAAAAACCCCAAGTTGGTTTGGGCCCATGCGCCTTTTTGACGGAGATATGAGTTAATTAATGAAAATGCCATTAATAATAATTAATTAATAGCTCACGACCATGATCAGCTAGGAGTTGGAAATTTACACCACAGTTGAAGATAGATGTTGTCTACTCACTGCGACACTTTTAGGCTTATAAACCAAAGCTTTTGCAAGATATGAATTTTTTATGATTTAGACAGTTTTTAGTGAAAATTCACCACTGAAAACCTAAAAACTTGTTATCACTTTTTAGATACCTCTATCGACTCAGGAAAGACTTATTTCACTTAGATATAGGTCCCTAAGAGCCGCTGAGCTTCTGCAGCGTGAACAGAGGTATTTAAAAGGTGGGAACAAGTTTTTAGGTTTTCAATGGTGAATTTTCACTAAAAACTGTCTAAATCATAAAAAATTCATATCTTGCAAAAGCTTTGGTTTATAAGCCTAAAAGT